GCCCGCCGTGGCCTCGGCGAGCTCTCCCGCAGCCTGGCCTGGCAGCTGGGAGGCCCCGGGGAGGCCGGCGGCCAGCCCTTGCCGCCCGAGGGGCAGCCGGCGGGGGAGGAGGCGGCGCCGCCGCCCCCCGTCCAGCCCGGCGACACCGGCCTGAAGCTGGGGCTGTTGCCGCCGGAGCTGCACGCCCGGCTGCTGGACCAGGAGGACTACAGGAACCGCACGCAAGCCGTGGAGGAGCTGAAGAGGGTGGTTGGAGGCGCCAGCCCGGCCGCGGTGGCCTCCACGCCGGCCCCCAGCCTCCTGGGGCTCATCAGCTTGCTCTACACCCTCCTCGACGACTCCAACTTCAAGGTGGTGCTGGGGGCCTTGGAGGTGATCCATCTGCTGGCCCTGCGCCTGGACGACCGGGTCCAGCCCTTCCTGGCACCTCTGGTCTCCGCTGCTGCTAAAGTCCTGGGGGACAACAAGCTGGCCATCCGGCAGGAGTACAACGGCCTCTTCCTGCGGCTGATGAAGGCAGCGGGTCCTCAGCCCGTGCTGGCCCTGCTGCTGCAGCGGGAGCACCTGCAGCACAAGAACTCCAAGGTCCGCGAGGAGGTGGTCAACATCTGCATCGTGGCCCTCCTCACTTACCCTAGCGAGGAGCTGGACTTGGCCAAGCTGGCCTTTGGGCTGGCTCCAGCCCTGGTGGACAGCAAGCGCAGGGTGCGGCACGCTGCCATGGAGGCCTTTGCTGTGCTGGCCTCTTCCATGGGCCCCGGCAAAACCACCCTGCTCTTCAAGGCGGTGGATGCCGTGGAGCTTGAGGACAACGGGGACGGGGTGATGCACGCCGTGCAGGCCAGGCTGGCCAGGAAGACCTTGCCCAAGCTGGTCGACCAAGGGTTTGTAGAGTACGCTGTGCCCTTGCCCTCCTCTGGTCACAACAGGGGGTCCTGTTTGCCCCCGGGCGCGGATACGGAGTGGCTGCTGATGGGCAGCAGGACTCAGAGTGCACACAGTTACTGTGGGTATCACGCCAGGGAGGATGCTCTGCAGAACTCTGGCTCCCAGGAGGTGTATGCTGACCAGGGAGTAAGTCCAAGAAGAGTCTTGAGCGCGGGCAAAGGGAAAAACAAGCTGCCTTGGGAAAATGAACGTGCTGGAGACAGGGAAGGTGGTTCGGGAGCCAAGATGCCTTTCACAAAGGGTGTGGAGCAGGTATGTACTCCCAGCTCGCTGGCCTCCTTTATTCTAAGGCGTGTTCTGAAGGGGGATTTGAAAGTTGTCAAGGGTTTATTAAATGTCAGGTATCTGTGAGGTTTGGCTTGTGCTGCTAATGCTTTATCTGCAAGGGTCTCTAGTTGTACATCACTCTGGGAAGGCGAACTCCTTATGTCACATTTAGCACTAGTAGGAACCTATCTTAAAGTTAGCTGGACTCTAGGAGACACTTTTTCTGTCTAACCCTTGTGACCTGTCTCTGAGAAAGGCAAGCTAAGACCCAGGGAACGACCACAAGAGTGGGGAAACTATTTCAGAGCTTCTGTTTGTATATTTGCGTTTGAGAGTTCCTGACTGACTGCCAGGAGTTTCCTAAACACAGAAGCTGTTTGGAGGAAAACTGACAAATTGCTGCAATTCAGGCTTTGGAGGCAGAGCTGCAGAGCAGGGCTGGGTCGGCGCGTTTTGGCTGTGTGCTGGCCAGCAGTGAAACCTGGGGGTTGCCAAATGGCTGTGTGGCTCTTCTTCCTCCCTCTGATTCCACGGGGAAAAATGTAGGTCAGGCTGGAATAGCAATTCCGAGTGAGCTGAGTTCTGGTTTTGTCACCTACTGACCACGTCGGCAGCTGCAAAGGGAACGAACCTTTGCAAAATTGGTCAGTTCCCTTTTACTTTGGCAGTGGCTCTGGTCTGTGACATCCGGTTTGGGTACTGCCCATGGCTTTAAGACGTGTAGCTGTGTGTGGTGGGTTTTGGTTGGGTGAGGGTTTTTGGGGGGGGCATGTGGGTTTTTATCGATTTGTGGGCTTTTTTTCTTTTTTTAACTGAACAAGTTTAATTTATCATAACTTTATCTCCAGCAAGTGAATTTAAGCGGGGTTTTGGGGGTGGGCATGTGGGTTTTTATCGGTTTGTGGGTTTTTTCCTTTTTTTAACTGAACAAGTTTAACTTTTCATAACTTTATCTCCAGCAAGTGAATTTAAGCAAGTGGATCCTTTTAGAAACTCAAAAGCTGTATAGAATAGAATTCCTCACTCCCCCATTTATGTATTCGGAATCTAATTCTTAGTTGCTTGGTAACTTGTTCCTGTGCTGGAGGAGGTCACGAGCAGCACTACTTTGTGAAGGCTGGCTTTTAATAAAGCCTCTTAATAAAAAGAAAAGTGAGTTAATGTTATTGTAGAGTAAACCCCTTGAAGTTCATGTGTATACTTGTGTGCACACGGGCTCGTGTCCTTCGTGGGGGCATGTGTTACCTTCACTCACACCCTAAAGTAAACAGTGTGCTCTTGCGGCCAGGAAGGCCAATGGTATCTTGGGTTGCACAGGGAAGAGTGTAGCCAGCAGGTCAAGGGAAGTCATTCTCCCCCTCTACTCTGCACTGGTGAGGCCACAACTGGAGTACTGTGTCCAGTTCTGGGCTCCCCAGTTCAAGAGGGACAGGGAACTACTGGAAAGAGTCCAGCGTAGGGCTACAAAGATGATTCAAGGATTGGAGCATCTCCCTTATGAGGAGAGACTGAGAGAGCTGGGACTCTTTAGTCTGGAGAAGAGAAGGCTGAGGGGAGACCTTATCAACGCCTACAAGTATCTCAAGGGAGGGTTGAAGGAGGAGGGAGCCAGACTCTTTTCAGTGGTTCCCAGTGAGAGGACGAGGGGCAACGGGCACAAGTTGGAACATAAGAGGTTCCACTCAAATATGAGGAAAAACTTCTTCACGGTG